CCAGGAGCTCAATGATAACAATGGATAACCTCGATAAACTAAGTCATTGCCATCCCCCCAGCTAACCCACATTCTGGTTCTTATTGAGCCTGTCCGTGAGTGGTAAAGCCCGACTGCCTTGCAAAATGACCAGTCTCCCTATGCCCATGGTCACATAGGTAGTGTTAAAGGTAGGAATTTGGACTCTCTTCACTCCCCAGTCCAACCGACGCTCTTTCCATTATACAGCTTGTCTCAGTGCTAGGCTGTGTGGACCACTGCTCAATCTCAGGGTGAAATTCTTATGGGCCATTTTACCTTCATCCCATCCTTGCCCTATTCAACAATGCCACGTTGATCATGTGAGCACATTTTTCAGTAACCTCCCTCCTCCATTCACTTGACTCTTCTCCACTGCTAGGAGCTGAGCTTCTTGGCCAAGTCTAGGCATTACTAACTGAAATGTGGTTGAGTGTGTTCTCGTGTTGAAAGAAGGACTGGGGTGTGGAGGATGGGGTAAAAAAAAATGAGAACCTTTGTGGCTCCTGGTTCTCCAAGATACCACAGAAAATCTGACTGGAAAGTGGGAACTGAGGTAATGTCACTGGTGAGACGCAGAAGTAAGACTAAGCCCCTGACATAGGAGGGACCGGAACCACTGGAGGCCCAGAGACAAATCCATCTTCCCTCCGCCCAACCCCACCAAGGAAATGGGAACAATCTGGAAATACAAAGTCCGAAAAGTGTACCCGGCAATTTGACTGGGCAAAGGCACAAGTGCCATTCCACGGGGAAGCCCGGCCCTAGATCAGAAGCCCTTTCCCTGCACAATGTTCCCCTGCTCCTATCTTGGGCTCCCAAGCTAGCCTACCAGCGCTTCGGGTGCCCCAGGCAGATCTGCCTGGGCCTGATTTAAAGACTGAACACCTGCAGTGGCTGCCACTCCTGAACCAGGAGCAGTTATCATTCTGCTTCTGGGTGAATGAAGATCTTGGGCAGAGGGGCAGGTGTCAGGAAGGCCCAAGGATGGAGTGGACAAGGGCTTTGTGTGCCCAAGCTGGGTCTGGAAAGGGGGAAGGTCGTGTGTGTGTGTGTGTGTGTGTAACTGTCCAACCCCAGCTCTGTATCTCTCTTGCAACACAGGCAACCACAGATTACTTAATCTAGTGTGACGATGTAGGAGACAGAGAGAGATGAGGCAGCTTTTGCAAACCTTACAGCCCGTACAAAAGTGAGCTGTTACTGGGAGGATCTTTATTAAAATAAAACAAAACAAAACAAAACAAAAACAGGACCTATGATGTCGTCTGCCTAGGAATCTCCTTGGAGAGGGAATTCCTAAAGGCACAGACAGGCACGGACCGGACAATGAAGAGCCTCAGGAATCTGCCCAGGGTCACACAGCCTACTGCCCTTAGACTGGGCTTCCAGGCACCAAGTCTGTTTGCTCTCCACTACACCTCGCAATCTAGTAATATGAAAAGGCAGCATGGAGCAGTAGATAAACTGCTGACCTTGGAGTTAGCTGGGAGACCTGAGTTTTGTGTCCCATTCAGGAAGACCTGACTTCAAATCTAGCCTCAGACACTTACTAGCTGCATGACCCCAGGCTAGGCACTTGACTTTTGTTTGCCTCGCTTTCCCCATCTGCAAAATGGGGATAACAATAGCATCTCCTTCCCAGGGTTGTTCTGAGAATCAAATGAGATAATAACTATAAAGTGCTTATTACACAGTAACCACTATATAAGTATTAGCTATCATTGTCACAAAACAAAAGTCAGCATGCCAGGAAGTTGGATTTTTTTGTATTAAAAATGGGTTTATTAAAAATGGTAGTGGGGCAGCTAGGTGGTGCAGTGGATAGAGCACCGGCCTTGAATTCAGGAGGACCTGAGTTCAAATCCGGCCTCAGACACATAACACTTACTAGCTGTGTGACCCTGGGCAAGTCACTTAACCCCACTGCCTAGCCAAAAAAAAAAAAAAATGGCAGGGACTGCTAGATGGCACAGTGGATAGAACACCAGACCTCAGCTCAAACCTGGCCTCAGACACTTACTAGCTGTGTCACTTACACTAACTTACACTAACTGATTAGACCCTGGTCAAGTCACTTAACCCCACTGCCTCCAAAGAAAAAATGGTATTAAAAATGCATTTCTAAGTCGGAGTTGTAGAGCACATTTTTTTTTTTTTTTTTTTGCTGAGGCAACTGGGGTTAAGTGACTTGCCCAGGGTCACACAGCTAGTAAGTGTCAAGTGTTTGGTCTGAGGCCAGATTTGAACTCAGGTCCTCCTGACTTCAGGGCCTGTGCTCTATCCACTGCTCCACCTAGCTGCCCCTAGAGCATATTTTCAATAGCCTATCCCCTCCCCCAACTTGAGCACCCACCTGCCTTTTCTGAATTTCCTCCTTTTTGATTGGGTGCATCACCCAGCCAGGTCATACAAGACCCCTACACCAAAGCAGACAGTGCCTGATGAAATACCTCCCCTCCTTTGCATGGGCTTTGGTGGAACTAGAGAGTTTTAGGATGCTTTCCTGGGATTCCAACACCATGTCACGTTTTCCTTTACAATTTTGCTACAAGCTGACTGGTTCAGAAAAGCTGACTGTTTGCTGATTCATGCTACTAAACGAAACAAAAACCTGCACATTCAGCAAAGCCATTGTGTTACCTCCCCTTGGACAGAGCTGGATCAATACCAAAAATGAATCCTCTCAGGCAGTGGATTCTAGATGAAGCACGAATGGCAGGGCTATGATCTCGTCTAAGGATATAAGCCCCCAAGAGCCTTGTAGCCACAGTCAGAAGCCCAGCCGGGATGGGGACGGTGAGTGAAAGGTACAAACAGTCTTAATCCACAGAGTGGTGAGTCTGGCCTCCTCCCTTGGCTACTGGCCTGATCCAACAGTCGCTCTGCTGGCTCAGTCAGTCCATCCCACTGGGGGTCCTCTAGCCCTGCCCACCCACAGGTGAGGAAACGGAGGTCCACAGAGAGGAAAGGGACTTGCCCAAACCTAGCCAGTAAGTGGCAGAGTCAGGATTTGAAATTAGGTCCTTAGCTTTCTTTCCTATTCTTCAAATACAGAACACCCAGGTGGAATGTGGGGACTCTGCCTTTCTACAGATCACTGCCCCTACCCAGTGTCTGGCACATCAGCTTCCCTTCTAAGCACACAGATTCACAAGGCTCAAGATACAGTTTTATTCACAGTTTAGTGGAAACAGGACTTGTATCCAACACCACAGGAAGTAACAATGACTTCTAGTAGTGCCCTGAGTAGAGCTCCAGCCCCGGGCAGCTAGGTGACCCAGTGTGGAGTGCCAGGCTTAGAGTCAGGAAGACTCATCTTGAGTTCAAATCTGGCCTCAGACACCAATGACCTGTGTGACCCTGGGCAAGTCACTTCACCTTGTCTGCCTCAGTTTCCTCACCTGTAAAATGAGCTGGAAAAGGAAATGGCAAACTACTCCTATATCTCTGCCAAGAAAACCCCAAGTGGGGTCATGAAGAGTCAGATACAACTGAAGGACAGGTAGGAGCAATTGGTTTGTTTCATATTTGTGCTCCCCAGAGCTCTTGTTTTGGCCCCCAGGGGCTCTTTGCTCCCTTGGTTAGCATCCTCTGCCTCCCCCATTGCTTCACTGAAGCTCTCTTGCGGGGGCCATGGCGGGTAGTCTTGCCACCAGCACTTCACTCCACAGTCCCATGCCACAGAACCACTACATTCTCATTCTTCAAGTCTGCTGATGTCCATCCAGCAGCTCTGCTTTCCTTTCAAAGATGGCGCCAGTCACCCTCTTCTTTCTCTCTCTCAGTTCTGGCTCTGCTCCCTGCTCTCCACCAGCTTACACTGCTCCTTTTCCATATGCTTTCTCTGGCAGATAGCACTCACCCCCATTTCTAGGTGACCAGCCTGCTATGGAACAAGCCTCAGTGGGGTTGTTTTGTTTTGTTTCTTAACTGAAAAAACCCCACTCTCAAACTCCATACACATTATTAGGTTTTGTTTTGTACAGGGTCTTCATAGCCTAAACATCATACAACAGGTTTCTTGAAGAGGAAGAAGAAGCTAGTCTCAGTGTGCTTGTAAATGTTTAACAACCAGCCCGTCCAAAAAGGCTGCAAAACACACTTTTAAATTTAATCTGCATTATTAATATTTTCTCCATCACTCTCTTAAGTCTGGACAATCAACAAGACAAAATGAGCTCTGATTTGCGGTTTGCTGATTGGAAGTGTGAATGCTGGCACTGAAAATGTCAGACCAGTAAGGGCTGGCTCCAGCACGCCTGTCTCCTTTAGCTTCCCGGGTCTTACATGCTGCCTTCACGTCCACACCTAAGTCTCTGGGGTCTGGGAGGCCCCTCTGCTTTCTCTGCCCTGCCCCGCTTCCCCAGGGGTGGCTGGGCTGACTTACCCATTTTCCGCAGGCTGCTTCCCAGAGCCTAGAGGAGGATGCTGAGAGGACTCGCTCCTCCCAGTCCTGGGGCCGGGATGCTGGGAAGGAGGAGGAGCTACACACCATCGAAACATTTAAAGGCTAGCTTTCCAGCCCTTGGGTCTGACTCTCACGGAGACTGCCAGGAAGGCTCGTTTCCACATCTGTAAAATGGGGACAAGAAGTCTCAGAGCACCAATGAGATAACGTATGTAAAGCTGTATCCGAGCCTCTTTTACCATACCCCCCCCCCAACCCCTAGGAGCACGAGTCTGGTACCAAGGGCTCCCTCATCCCCTCAGAGCCCAGCCAGTCTCGGCCCCCAGTTCCCGGGGTGGGCGGAGCGGGGTCGCCTAGCCCCAGACCCTGTGGTGGGTGAAGGGGGTTTCGCCCCAGCGCCCGTGATGGGCAGAGGAGGGGTCGCCCCAGCTCAGCCCGCCCCGTCCGACGGCGCCCCGAGCTCCCGCAGCTCTGGGGCGCACTTCCTCGTCGGGAGGCGCGCGGGGGCGGGGCGAAGGTGGGGAGCGGCGGGTGGCCGGCCCAGCGGTTGGACGGGCGTGGCTCTCTGGGGTCACCTGGCGTTGCCAGGTGCCGACCCCGCCGGCTGCTTCTGCGGCCCTCCTTCCTCTTCCTCCTCTCCAGAGCCCCCACCAGGCGTCCCCACTTGCCCTGACGCGCGCTCCCACGCTCACGCACCCTCCCGAGGTGAGTCCCGTCGGCGGCACCCCCAGGACCGTGAGCCCGGGGGAGGGGCTGCGGGCGCGGGAGCCCCCACGTCTTCCTGCGTCGCCCTAGTGGTTCCACGGTGGGGGGGGGGGGGCGCCGGGGGGCCCCGGGCTTTCCCCCCCCCCCGAAATGGGGGGGGGCTCGGCGCCGCACCTGGCTGCGGCGGGCTTGTCTGCGCGCTCTCCGTGGTTCCTGGCGGCTCGGGAGGCGAGGCGCCTGCTGTGGGAGCCCCACGCGTGCGCCCCTGCGCGCCCGCGTCCCCCGTGCGCCCGGGGCGTCCACACCTGTGGCCCCAGGACCTCGGCTGCTGCTTTGTTTTAGGGGCCCCTTTTAGAACTTGTCCGCGTCCACCCGCGCTCTCATCCCCTTGCTCTGCAGACCAGGCAGCCCCCGCTGGTGGAAGCCTGCTGTTGTTTTCACACCAAACTCGGCCCCTTCCCCGCAGGGGAGTCCGGGGCGCGGAAGGAGGGGACGGCCCTCGGAGCCCACTGCCTCTTTGTTTTTCCGGGGGACGGTCGGGGGGCAAGGTTGGTGGCTGGCCACACTTTTCCTAGGGAGGCTGCCTGGACCCGGGAGACTGCTGGCGAGGGTGGAGGCAACCTGGCCGGGGCTTCACGTTTCAGGGTTTTGCAAATGATGTGGGGGAGCTGCAGGCTGTGGGGGAGGGGAGCCTAAAGGCTTGGCGATTGGCGGACCCAAGCCATCACCCTTTCCCCTGCTTTCCCTTCCTCCTCCTCGCTCAAGGGTAGGGTCACGCTGAGAACCCATACAGGGTAAAATGTTTTATTGGTGCTTTAAAAAAAATCTCAATCTAGATGGTTACTCAGGGTGTTGTAGGGTCGACTCGTCTGGGAAAGGACTGGGGTCGCCTGTGTCACGAGGTCCCTGACATTCGGGGCATGGAGGGAGGGCATTCTCCATCGGCCAGGACTGAGCCCTTGAGGCCCCTTCCAGCTCCCAACTCCTGTGATTGATGTCGGGAAGACCTCCCAGGATGGACAGCTGTGGGGCACTCGATTTATGTAGCAAGCGGCGGGGGGCCCCCTGCCACACTCCTGGATGCGCTTCTCCAAGGCCCGGGGGGCTCCCCCGCAGCATTCCCCGATCACGCCATGCTTCTTGGGTACTATTTGGGTACGCTCCCCTTGGTTCAGCCTCCCCCACGTATTTTACCTGGGTCACTGAACCAAAACTCCTTCCCCTTGGGAAGTGTCCAAGTTCTTTACTTCTACCTTTTAATACTGGGGAGAATTCCAGACCTCTGCCCTCAGGCGGAGGGATCTCATTTGTGCTTGTTGGGTCAGCTTCTCGGTGCTTCTCGGGTCAGGGCATATGCACATGTTAAGTGGCCAGGAAGCCGAATTTCAAACTCCGCCTACTTCATTCTTTTCATTATCTGCACTTTCTGGCTAACCTCGCCATTGTTCTCTATTTTAACTGTACAGTTCCTTGCGAAGTTTTTCTGCTAAAGGTTCCTTTTTTTTGGACGACGTTTTGCTCGCCAAGTTTCCTAATTGTTCCACTGTTCTGGCTTAAGAGTTTGGGAAGACGAGCTGGGCTTGAGAGGTGTAGCAGTGATGCCTGCCAGAGAGGCGTCTCCGGTGTGGCAGACCCCCAAGGTGGGGGGGGGGGACTGAGTGCTGGTAGCTGGGTCTCCAGCTGTTAATTATTTCCTATCTTGTCTATAGCTTTGTATATGTTTGTTTGCGTGATCTCCTCCTCATTCCCCCCCTTAGATTGTTAGCTCCCTGAGAGGCAGGAACCGTCTTCTGCCCCTTGTTGTATTTGCTCTTAACAAATGTTTCTTGATCGATTGCTCCCTTGATATAAAGAGAAAACGACCGTCCTGTAATGCCGCGGGCAGCTGTGAGTTCCTACTTTGGGCTGTTTGAACTATCCAGAACTTGTGGGTCATGTTACTCTTTTTATAATCAGACGGACACCAAGTATCATGTGCATGCTATGTAAGTGCTAGTCGGGCATGCAGAGACAAAAATGAGGCTCCCGGGCCCTCCAGGAGCTGACATCCTATCATGGGAGATATCATATTTACAAGTATGTACGAAATAAGGAGAGATTTAATTGACAAACTTCAAAACATATTCCCACTTGAATTGCCATCATTTTCTTAAATGGTGCTTTGCCTGTAGAAGAATCGGGAGGAATCCTCAACGGTCAGTGGGCAGAAATCTGGGGAGCGCCTAGAGGATAACATTTGACCATTCATTCACTCATTCAGCTCTGAGGATGTCTCAGTGTGGCGACTCCCTTCACCACTGCAGAGAGGAATCTGTGACCTATCGAATTAATCTTAGTGAGTCCATTGGGGAGCCCTGACAAATGGAGTGACGTCAGAGGCAGAATTCGAATCCAGAGCTCGGCCCCCTCATTCTCTCTGCCTCTGTGTTCAGGTGATAGCTGTAGTTGAAAGAAGCAGCCAGAGTTTTTTGTATTGACAGAAGCACGCAGCTGTGTGGTGGCTCTTATTTCACTGTTTTACTTGATGGTCAATTTCCTGGACGATAAAATGGCAAAATAACTTTGTCCGCATCTTAACTGAGTAATTTTGTTTCCTGTCCTTGAGGATCTGTGATTTCCAGCATTGCTGCTTATGACACATCTATGCCTGCCTGTCCAGCTCGGCTCCTGTCCATGTCCTCCCAGAGAACTACTGGACCATGGTGGCCAGGGGAGGTTCACCCAGTGGTGCTAGAGGCTTTTTGTGATAGTAAAAATGAGTTCTGCTGTTGAGTATTTCTTACAGCTTTTTACTGGTTCCCTAGTAAAAAAAAAAAACAAACCCTCATCCAAAAAAGCTCTCCCACTTTTTCATTCATTTCTGTTCTGTCCTTTCTGTGAGAACACTTCATTCTGTTTTAACAGTCAGGCTGAAGCTTCTTCAGTGCATGTATACATTATTCTCAAAAGACAATAATCCTTCCATTTTTCCTCTTTTAATGTTCTTAAGATGACCCTGATTAGTTGAGTTTCTCATCAAGCTTTTAAAAAATTTTTTCATTGATAACTTTTATTTCTTGCATCTGCTATATTTGCCTTTCTCCCTCCTTCCTCCCTTCTAAAGAGGGGTGGGGATGGGGGAAGAATAGTCCAGCAAAACTCATTAACCTATTGAAGAAGTGCAACCTTGACAAGCTTTCTTTAAACTGTTTTTCACCTTCACCTGGTTCCCTCTGTTACAGGAGGCAATACTGCTTGGTGTCTATTGGTTCCCTTGTTATGAGGATTTATTTTATTCAAATCAGAATCTCAGTGGTCTGTGTCTACATCCTTCCTTTAGTCTATATCCCATTTTTCATCAGGACTGTGACATTTGAATAGGTCAGGATGGAGTTGCCTTTGTTTCGGGTTATTCCTTTTTCCTCATTTATGTCCTAAGGTGTTGTTTCAAGAGGAGATGAATTGGTGTTTACCTTCATCAGCCTAGGGATGGTAGAATTAGGCTCTCTGGGGCACTGATGGCTAATAGCTGTTTTTGCGCAATTAAAATAAATGTGCCTCCACCTAGAGACTAGGGATGTTACATTTTCTCCTGCTCCTATTACTGAGGCTTACTGCTATTAGAGAAGGTGCTGTCTGTAGAGGGAGGGTTCCTTATAACCTGGAGTTACACATCCAATTCCTATTTCTATTCCCAAAGCCTGCATGCTGGGGCCCTTGATAAATCTTCATTGAACCAAGTTGAAATTATCGAACCTTTCTCACTAATGAGAATTGCAGGTGTCATGATTGTTATTGTTGTTATCCCCATTTCACAGCGAAGGAAACTGAGGCTCAGGCAGGTTAAATGGCTCCCACAGCTGGTAAGCCTCAGAAGCAAGATTTGAAACACCTGACCATGCCTCTGTGACTTTCCATGTTTCTCCTGTCACGTCAATCTACCTCTGTATCGTAACCTCACCAGTGCCAGCGAAGGTGACCTGTGGATGATACACAGCCAAGCCGCTGAGAGCGCTGAGCTGCCTGATAAACCAGGCTGCGCCAGCATCAGTAGCTGTTGTGTGTGAGATACAGCTGGCTGTTGAGGTGAGGCCAGTGACTGGCCCATTTGAGTCGGTTTAAAGCAGCTAACCAGGTTTACTTGTTAATTAACTAGTCAGGACAGCCAGCTGATGTTGCTGGATGAAAAAAGCAAGGTATTATTGGCTTTCTCTGTTTGCCTGAGTTTCTTCAACTCAAAAATGAGAATCATAACAGGACCTACCTCCCAGGGTTGTTTCAAGGATCCAACGAAATAATAACTGTAAAAGAAAAAAAAGGTGCTTGGCATAGTGACTGGCACATAGTAGGTGCTTAATAAATGTTTATTTCCTTCCTTCCCCCAACCCCTCATTTTATAGTGGGGGAAATTGAGGCAAACAGGTTAGTGATTTGTAGGGAAGCAAACAGCCTGTAAGCATCTGAGGCTGGATCTGAAGTCAGGTCTTCCCGATTCTAGGCTCAGCTCTCTTTGCAGGCAGGGCCATGCCTTCAATGCCCTACATTCTGTGGTAGAGATATACAAAATAAATACATGTTAATTTGGAGCAGGGGAGAAACAGCTGAGGAAGGGGGCAGTCCGGATAGGCTTCAGGTAGGAAGTAGATTTGATATGAGCCTTAAAGGATGTCAGGGATTATTACAGAATTTTTTTTGAGGTGGGGCGAGAGGCAATTGGGGTTAAGTGACTTGCCCACGGTCGCACAACTAACAAGTGTCAAGTGTTTAGTCTGAGGTCAAATTTGAACTCAGGTCCTCCTGACTCCAGTGCCGGTGCTCTATCCACTGCGCCACCTAGCTGCCCCTGATGTTAGGGCTTGTAAGAGAGAAAGGTGAAGAGAACATTTCAGGCCTGGGGACATTCTGTGCAAATGCCCGGAAATGGGAGATTGACCTTTGTGTCTGAGGAGCAGAAGGCTCATTTGGCTGGATCGGAGGGTGAATATAGGTCAGTGCTCATTATTAATAAGGCTGAAACACAA